TACTCTTAAGTATTTAAAAAAAAATAGATCTAAAATTATTCCTATCTCTCCCTTCCTTCTCTAATTTTGACCATATCTTTTGTCCTCCTCCTCTCTCTATCACCTTAAATTAACTTAAAACTACCCCTCAAAAGTGTATAAAAATAATACATAAATTTAAAATCATCTTTTATGCTTGGAAATGTGATCTGAAGAAAATTCCTGGAGAAATAAAATATAATCAATGGACCCTTAAGGTTGTCTATTTTAATTAAATATATATATATATATATATATATATATATAATCTCTCTCACACACACACACACACACACACACACACACACACACACAACTAATTAGTTATCAAGTTGGAACAAAAGTTGTCTGTCTATTTTGATATGAAAATGTTAAACAAAATTTATTAAACTATTGCCTCTTTATGGAGTTCAGAAATTTATATCTTTTTCTTTCAGGTTATAAGAATATTATTCATGATATAGTTTGAAACCTGCCTGCATGTTCATTCCAACCAAAGAACACATTAGAAATATTGTTATTTATGAGTTTCAAAAAGGTGTCACTGCAAGTGCAGCAACAAAATCTATGGACTAAGGTCAACATCAAGTGAAGAGGTTCAACATTAGTCAGTCTCGTATTTTAAATCAAAACCTAAAGAATTTTACAAACATGGAATCTATAAACTTGTTGGCAGAAGGAATGAGGTTCTAGGAAGCAATAGAGGTTATATTGAAGATTAAATATTTCTATAAGCATTAATATTTTCATTTGTAATATAGACAGCAAAATCAATTTCATTCCAATCTGATACTTTGCATGTGTTGGCTAAATATGAATAAAATGAAAGAGAAAATTTAACAAAATATAATATGTGAAGAGAATGGGAGTTTTGTGAGAATTTCATTAAACTTCAATTTTTTATGTGGCTTTTGTTTTCACTAAAAGCAGATGAGAATTTCTATCTGACATGCTGAAAAACATTAAATTCAATTTTAATGGAGAGAAAGAAAAAATAAGCAAAGATTTCTTTTGTCATCTGGTCATTCACAAAACTAACAACTTTTGGATATTACAAGAAAAAAAGCCTTTTACAAAAAATTCTCTTGATTTGATTAGCTTGCAAACTACAAACAAAAAAAGGTTTTTATGATAAAGCAGAATATTGGCAATAACTTCTTTCATATTGACAAATTCTTGCATACAAGGTCGTCATTTTTACTTATAGAAAATATCAATTTTCACCTTATCCAAAAAGGAACTATAACTTAATCAAATTTTCTTATCAAAATATGAATACGAACAATGAATAATTTCTTAAGGTTGTCTTGTTCTATTAAAAACTATGTGAATCTTATGTTTCTTTAATGATGAAAATGTTGGCAATCACTAAAAATAATGAATGATTTTATGTTTCCTCAAGATCTACACCAAAATTCACATCTTCAAATCTTGCCTATTCAATATGAGATTTTTTTTCAGCTACTTTTGCCACAAAGAGAGACAAGTTCAAAACATGTTTCGTACATTGCAATAGAAGGAGTGTGTGCATGTGCCAACGGCAGGCAACATAATCCTTGGTTGAGACGTCTGTTCATAATATTAAACATGCTCACACAAAAACCATACCTCCTACATCCACCCTTTGCCTGGCTCTTCAAAACTGACATGGCATATTGCACCTTGTCGATTGTCACATCCGCTTCCTCTTTTCTACAACAGTCAATAAGGCCCCAACAGATCTTCAAGCCCTGTTTAACTCAGCCGCCATAGGTGCCCCACTTTTACATCTGACTGGGCGGCTATACATGCAATTGGCTTCATAAAACCCAGCATTGTTTGCACAATCCTTTTCTGTCATTGATTCATGCCAATAATATCTGAGTCACTTATATATCCAAAGCAATTTCATTTAACAAACTATGTATGATAAAACTTATTATCAGAACATGGCTGATACCAACATTCCTCAATAAAAAATTTAAAAAAATGTAACAACAAAAATGAAAACCACAAATATAACAAATCAAGTAAGTGCATATGGAATTCAAAATTTATCCACAAAAGAAAAAGTATATTAACTGTAGAATTTAAAAAGCGATCAGAATATAATAAAAAAAGATTAACACCAATTTTTAATAGTATTGTTACTCATTGTTATAGCTTTAATTTGCAAATAAATGGGAAAACTTAATTAAACATTTACAAATCAATGTTTGCCTTTATGTACATTACTCATTGTAAAGCTTGGAATCAAGTTTGAGTAAATATTAAATTTATTGCATGCATAAAGGATTAAGACAAAGAAATGCTTCAACATTCAAAACGAAATCTTTTTAATAAATAACATAAAGGAAACATTGTAAAACCAGTAGTAATAATGGTATGATGACTTGTCAGCTATATAATGTCAAAAAATTCAGTGTAAAGATAGAAGTTAGTCTAACCATTTAATCTTCCTTTTTAAATTGCAATATAGAAACATTTTAAGAGAATAACTACAAATCTGATTTTTTTACTGTATCTTCTTCTGAAGACAGTCTTTTAATTCTAACTTTATTGGTGAGGTTGATTAACACAGTTTTTATACTTAAATTGAGTCAAATAAGAAACAAAAGCAAATAATGAAATCTTTCAAACATCAGGTTCTGATTAGCACAAGAAGGAGATCAAAAGATTTTCCTGGGAGCAAAAGCCTCAAGTAAACATGCAAACATCATAATTAACAAGTGATATTAAAGAAGATTTTAGAATTAAGATAATTTTGTAACATTGAAATGAATTTATTATTTATAATGAAATCTTGAATATGAAGGAAAATCAGTTCTTACAGAATGAAAAGAAATATATCCAGTAAAAGTTTTAGTGAACACAGAGAAAGAAATTTTGTTGAATAATTGTGAAGATCTGAATTGTTTAGATGCAGAAGACAAGGTTTGTATAAAATTAGAAATAAGAAGAAATATATTGTTGATGTAGCAAGAAAAAAAATCATTGCATCAATTAAAAGAGAGGAAATCTTCAATTATTATTTTTGAAAATTAAGATCTATATCCAATGTAGACTCAACAGTAGATATACAAAACAAAAAACAATGTAAAATATCTAAAAGTTTAAGAGAAAGGAAAAGCAAGTAGCAAGAAAAAGAATGAAAAATGAGAAGTTTATCCATTAAAATATGAAATGAACTGGACAAAGGCAAAAAGAAGAGAATAATTTTTGTGAGAAAAACATAAAACAAAATCCAAGTGTTTATAAGACTGTCAGTTTTGTTGCAGTAAATGAGTAGGACAAAATCTGTGCCCTTGTACAAGATTTAGCAATATAGAAAATACTACACAAGTAAAATTTTTATATATTTCTAATTAGACCTAATATAAAATTATGATTTAAATTCTTAAGTTCTTTTCAAAATTACTTATTAGTAAAAGAAGGTTTGACAAATTCAAATGTCTAAAGAAATAAAGCTGAAAAAAAAAAAAGTTTAATAATTTCTCTCATTTACATTCAACATGAAATGTAAGTAGACATTTTTTCTCAAATGAATCCATGCAGAAATCAAGGTTAACTAATACAAATTTACTCATTCATAAATCTATTTTCAGTATACCCTGCCTAGCATTTGCATAAATCTATTTCCAGTATACCCTGCCTAGCATTTGCATAGACACAATTATAACTTGTTTCAATGCAGAAAAGAAGATTCACAAAATAGACAATACAAAAAAATGGTGTACTAATTAAAGGTATTTACAAAGGTATTAGGCAAACAAGTAAACACATTTTACATCCTCTGAATTTGTGAGTGTGCCTAAAAGTGATATCTCTTATGCTATAGGAAACTACTAAAAACATATGTTGGCCAAACAAAACAAAAGGCATATTTTGATGACAATATATTGTATACATAATGAAAATATATAGAAGAGATTTTTACAAATTACACACAATCAAATAAAACATTTTGATTTCATTTTTAATTGTTTAAAAATGTTTTAGATGCTCTTTATTAAAAAAATATAATAATCTCCACAATTTTCAATTTTATTTAAGTTAACCCTACTTCAAATTAATACAATAATTTATATTTGTAGGAAATGTTTCCATATGCAAATAAATTTCTGGCTTTTAAAAGAAAAAGTATTCAAATTTTCAATGATTAAGATACTAAACTGATTTCTTTTAACTTTTAAGAATATAAATGGCTATTGTATATTTTAAGTCTTTTTGCCGCATACAGCAACAAAGTGACCTATATTCAGCTTACATGAGAGAAAACTTAATACCTAATTCTATTACAGATTCAGAATTAATTCAATGATGAAAGTTAAAGTATAATTACTGAAACTAACTATTGTTTAATCCAAATTGTAAATATCATTATACTTGCTGCCATAAAATTTTAAGTTGGTTATATATTAGAATAAGCTCATTACATAAGGAAGTAGTTGCAAATGAAGAAAAATTAAAACTCAAAGAAATAAGCATAAAGTGGGAAAAAAAACAGAAAGAAGATATGAGAAAATTAATTTTACTTTTTTCTGCAGTACTTTAAAAAAATTTTCAAATATTTCCTTTGTGTTTTTTATTGCTTAATCTTTCAATTATTCATACATTTCAATTACAGTTTATTATAGTTTTTCTTAGTGGTAGAGATTCATTCAGAAAATTCTTATTAAATATTTTAATCTTAAGCACATTGGAAATATTTACAACTTATTATTCTTAAGCATAAAAAACTGTAATAAAAATGCTTTCATCTGAAAATGAACACAGAGATAATTTGTTCAGTAATCCCAAGAAAATTTGGTAAACAATCTTAACTAACAAAAAGTGGTTATCATTGAAAGAAAAATTTATTTCTACAGATGATGACAAAGGAATTTTTTTCAAATGCAGAGTTCTAAATTTATGTTCATAACTTCATAAGATTCATAAAGGCCAATGTCATTTTACTTTGTATTATTCTTATTAGATGAAGTAATAAGTGTTGAGATACTTACTTTGTTGGATACTCAAGTTGACCATCTGGATCTGGGTTAAGGTCAAATTCTTGATCTGGTTCAGTTGAAACATCATCGAATGTCATAGATGGACGGTTTTTGTATCTGATAAAAGAATACAATTATGAACCTATATATATATATATATATATGTTGCACACACACACACTCACAATTTTAATTTCTTCTAAAACAAAAACAAAAAAAATGAAAAATAGCTTTAATGGCAGTAAAGAATTTTTAAAAATTATTTCAAAAACAAATTTCAAAAACCTGAAATGTAGATGTTTTTAAGAATCAGATACTAAAAATTTTCAAATGAGAGGTCTGAAATTATTCAAGTAAAAAATCAAGCAAAATGACTTACAATGTTCTCTAAATATGTTACATACATACATACATACATACTTGATTTATTATAATCAAAGGTTAAAAAAAAATAAATATTTACAGTACATTTACTTACAATTTCATTTTTGAAGGATCCATTCCTTCTCCTCCTCCAATTACAATAATCCCTTTTAACTTGATATGACCTGTAAAACTGAAATTTAAAAAGAAAGTATAACTATGCTTGTTGTGGAGTAAATAACAGACTTCCATTAACACAAATGAACTAGACAAGATGCCTTAAATAAAGAACTCCAAGTATTGGATTTAGTCAGGAGAATTTCTAACAGGCATCACTGTGAGCAGCCTAAGCAAGACATAATAATATAACCACTTGAAATGATTTATAACAGTAGCAACAAAGGATTGAAACTCATACAAGTAGGAAAAAAGTCCTTTTTTTTTTTCTTTTTTTTGCTTCAGCACATTGGTTTAATTTTTTCTCTTTGTTGCCTGTAAAAAAGAAAAAGAGAAACAGACATAACAGCAAGTAGCCTAAGTAATTATTATAGCTGCTAAGAGTGAGTTATAATAATGCTAATATCTATGATAAAATAAAAAAGGGGGTGTTTAATATGAGAATGTTTCAGTTTATCAAAAGAACAAACTAAAGCAAGTAATATGGTTTTCTTTCAGGTGAAACCGATTAGTCTATGAACACAAATCAGGTAAATAATCTGAAATTTTATTGATACAGATATCTCACAGCCATTAACAAATGAAGAAGTCAGGAACAAGACTATCCTTCACAGATATGAAGCTAGGATCACAAAGATTAACTGATCCAATTATATTTGAAGAAATGCAAAGTCAGTAAACAAGTTGGCTTGATTGAAGATATTTGAAATATAAAAACAGCAATTTACAACTCAAAAATATGTAAACAGCATCAAATTATAAATTACTACAAAACATGCCTGGCTATGAAATTGGAATATGGAGACATTACTCCTAGTTATGGAATTCATCTGGAAAAATCCAAAGATTCTTTAATAATTGGTTCAAGAGAATAGTATGGATCCACCAATTAAATTCCATCAGAAACATTGATCTGTAACAAAGAAGCCAACAAATGTCCTTGGTAGATGATATCAGATAGAAGTGTAGGTGAATAAATACATGCACTTTGATAGTCAGTAATCACAAACATTGCATGAAAGTGATAAAAGGGCAAAATAAAATATGCTAGTCATGGTGTCATACTAAAGTACATAGAAACTGGAGAGAATCAGAGATCTTTTTGCACACTGATCAAACAGTTTCACTTTATCCAGAAAAAGAGAGAAGGTCATATAAGACAGCATCTTCTATCCACATAAAAAAAAGATACAATTGCCACAAATTATCATTAAAGAAAAAACAAAATATAATGATCAATATTCATAAAATAAAAGAAAATAAAATAAAGAAAAAATAACCTTAACTGGATAGCAACCACTTTCATCATATTTCTTTTTTTAATTGAACTATTTACCAATGTTTGCCAATTATTATTGATGGCAATAACAAGGTACAGAGTAGTTGTGTATTAAAATGTCATGTAATTCAACTAGCCTTTTTTAACTTAGCCAAAGTGGTCAAGAAAATAGGTGGGTAGTCTAGAGACATAAAAAATACAAATATTACAACAATTAAATATCAAACCACTAACAAACTTATGTCAAATAGAAAAATAGCCAGCAACTACTGAGACTGAATGTTGATTAAACACTAAATTCATAAAACAAATTCTGTTCAGAGTGAATCATTGCAAATCCTAATCTACTTTTGGCATTATTTGTAAAATGACAACAAAAACAACAAATCTGTTTAATAAGATTTTATAACTTTACAACAATTATCACCAATGCTGACACAAGTGGTTAATAAGGAAAAATTTTGTTTTAGTTTACGTTGTCAGCTACCAAAAAAAAAATCATCAATAATTATTTTTTATCTTTTAAGTACAGCATCTGATGTTTGATATCAAATCTTCATTGCTTAGTTTCACACATTCCAAAAATAACACACACTAGAATATTTTTCAAAATTTGATTTAAAGTCAGAATTATAATTGCTAGAATATTTTTTTTTATCTGAAATGTCAAAGTGGTTTTATAGCACACTGATTCATAGTGTTTTTTTTTAATATTCAGGATTTAGAAATGTTAAAAACCAGTGGCATATTAAAGAGAAGTTAACAGCTGCTACCTTTGCTTAAAGCAACATTAGAACACAGCTTAGCAGCAACTAACCTCTTTAAATAAAAATAAAAATCATTCCAACAATAATATCAAAAACTCCTTGTAGGTAAATTAGATATTTTTGAAACAGGCTTACAAAAGTTCAGATTTATTTTTTCTGTTGATTACAATTTTGGAAATATTTACATTATGATAAACCTATAACAAATCAATTCAATAAGCCTTTCAAATTAAGACTATGCTCATATTTAAAGCCAAAACTTTTCATAAAGTCATAGATCTTTAATTATATGAATTTTGATAAATAAAAAAACGTTAATTCCCATGAATACTGAATGTTTTGTAAACCTATTTTTTATTTAACTTTCAAAATATTAAATTGTTAAATGTTAGAAAATTTGCATAAATTTGTTGTAATTAATAAATGTATGCAATAAAAACAAAATTCATTTTACATCAACTAAGATGATGATTATTATCATTGCAAAATGATATAAATGTGGATCAGTAAATTTGTTACAGAATTTTGATCTGAAATTTTGTAGTATAATGTTTGATATTTGCCCTAAATTAAGTACATTAACAAGGAAAAAGATTGTTAAAAATAAATATTTGTTGTGTAAAATATTTCTTTATTAGACATCACTGATGAGCTTACATATTTCTATATATTATTTAATATAAATTTCAATAACTATTTTCATAAGAAAAAAGAATTCATCATTAGATTTTGTTTTTCATAATATTGGATATTCATGAATAACTATAATCAGTTTTTCCACAAGAAAAATACAATGAATGTTTTTTAAACAAAGTTACACAGTTACAGTTACTTTAGATTAAACCTAAAAGTTAGGCATTAAAAGATAAAAATATGTAAAAGCTTAAAATTTCTCATTTTACTTTGCAAAGTACAAGATTATTGAAAATGTTGGTTCAATATAAATTAAACATTTCCTCTCTATAAAAAGTTAACATTGAGATCAGTCACTGAAAAAAAAAGCATGCAAAACATTAAACTTATTGGGTTTCTACAGCTGATCAGTTTTTTTACATATTACTTTATCAATTTTTATAGTTTGTCAACACAATTCATGAACGTGATATCAAATTGTTTCCTTGTTAAAATCTGAAAAAAAAAAAAAATTTAGAAAGAGATTCTTAAATTTAAAACTTTCTTCTATTAAAAAGAAAAAAATTGCATTAAAAGTTGTTTTATCCAATCTAATACATTTTCAAAATTGAAAAACAGGGTCAAAAAAAAAAAAATTTGAAAAAAAATAAAATAAATAAATAAAAAAAATAAAAAATATCAAAGAAAACACAACTGAATACCTTTTCAATACCTCAAATATGACAAAATTGATAACTGATATATTTGTTGGACAAATATTAGAATTGAGATTAAGAATTAGATTGAAGATTCAGACAAAAATGTATAAGATATCTATTAATCATTGGAATATACTTTAGTTATTAGTATTTTTATTTGATATATACACCTTGATAATATTTCCTAATTAAATAAATACATTAAGAAATGTATAAAGATATTTTAAAAGAATGCCAATTACATTAAAAATGACCAAACCTTAAAAAGTGTTCTGTTTCTTGAATTATACTTTAACAGATTTCTTGTTATTTTGAGTAGTAGCAGGAGTGGTTCATAAATTATGTTAATGTTACCAATGTTAACATTTCATACAATTATTTTTTTTTTTTTTTTAACTAGAAAGCCATCATAATGGAATTTTTAATAATGCAAAAAAGAATGAGCATAATCTAAAACAGGAAAGAGCATTGAAGAAGCCTTCCAGGCAGATACAAGAGATGTTGCTTTTCTTCTTTACACACTTGGCATGACTCTTGGAATTCAAATGCCAGCACCAAGAGTCATGAACTGGTGCAGGCAGAGAATGCATTCTGATTATCTGATTATTCCTTTATCTTATACTCATTCCAATCCTTACATCTTCTGAATAAAGACTAATGATAATTAAGCAAAGAGGTGATATACAGATTTTAATTAGTCATATTCAAAATAGCTTTATATATGCAAAAGTTTTCAAGAGGGGGTTTCTGAAAAGATGACAATTGCCTACTGGACATCCTTCCATGTATTTACATCTAGAATTAAGGGGAAAAAAAATTTTTTTTTTCCATAAATTTGTCATCAAACTTTATTATAAGTCAGGATAATTTTAAATTAATACAAAAATTTTTGAAACATTTCACTGAAGCTATTATCAGCTACAAAATAACATTTCAAACATATTATAAGTCTTAATATTTAAAAACTATCTTTATAATTCAAGAAATGAATCTTGTATATATCAATTCTCTTTTTGTGAGACAATTATTCTTTTCAATACGTTCTCTTTGTTTCACTCAAGTAATTATCAATATAATCATTAATAGAACAAATTATTTACTTTTTAACAAGTGGAAAGAAGGTAACTATACATTCAATCTTCAATTTCTACCAATGGAGCTTGGATTCATCTTATAGAAATTATTTTGATTCTCTTATGACATTCCTGAACAGACAATATTATTAGATGATGATGAAAAAAAATTACCATTTGAAAATCTGTAAGAAAAGAAAAAAAAAGCTCTTATGAAATAAGTATTTCTCATGAGGAGGAATGCTTTTTCAATAAAAAAATTGATTTCAATTGGCAAAGCAAGTATTATTACAAACAGAATATTCCTTAATTAGTTTTTTATCAAATTATTAACAAGTAACAAAATTATTTACTTCCTTATTCTTTACTTGGTGGTTAGTTTCATGTAAATTCTCAATCATTAGTTTTCTTTATATTTTTCAGCATTATAAATAGTATCTAATTTACCTCTTTCATGTACATTTTATTTACACATACATATATATATATATATATATATATATATATATACATATATATAATATATTATAATATATAATATATATAATATATATATATATATATAT